CGTTGGCCAACACTGTCCCCATGGCACTCCCATTGCCAGAGGTCACCCAGACACAGCCCGTCTCTGTGCCCACCAGCACGGACAGCGTGGCCATGCCCCCCACCAGCGGTGGCTCAGTGACCACGGGCGCGTTGTCATTACGGTCGAGTACCTCCAGCCGAACAGTCACATTGGAGGCCAGCACGGGGTGGCCACCATCCTCTGCAGTCACCAGGAATTCCAGGCTGCTCATCTGCTCATGATCAAAAGCTCGGAGGGCAGTGATGTCCCCACTGGTGGGATCGATGGAGACCAGGCCTGACGCTGCGGAATCCCGGATGCTGTAGGTGACCTTCCCATTGAAGCCCAGGTCAGGATCGATGGCGTGGACAGTGAGCAGGAAGGCTGGCACATCGCCATTCTCCTCCACGACACACTCATAGGAGGTCCTCTGAAAGGAGGGAGCGTTGTCATTGACATCACTGATGCAGATGGTGAGGTGCTTCCACACTGCCAGGGAGTGCTCGCCCCGGTCCCGTGCCACCAGCGTCAGGTTGTACTCAGCACGCAGCTCCCGGTCCAGCACGGCATTGGTCATCAGCAGGTAGCTGTGGCTGTTGGTCTGCTTCAGCCTGAAGTGCTCATCCCCTGGGCTCAGGGAGCAGTGCACACGCCCGTTGTTCCCTGAGTCAGGGTCACTGGCTGTCACCAGAGCCACAAAGCTGTCTTTGGGGACAGCCTCTGACAGCACGGGTTCCCATGCCGCCCAGGTGACACGGACATCAGGAGCATTATCATTGACATCCAGCACCCGGACCACCACCTTGCAGTGTGCTGGGATGGGGTTGGCGCCCAGGTCCCTGGCCTGCACATCCAGCTCATAGGCATGGGTCTCCTCGTAGTCCAGTGGGCGTCTCAGGACCAAGCTGCCCATGCGGGCATCAATGCTAAAGGTGCTCAGCACCTCTGGAGGTGCATGCTTACTGAGGCTGTACTCAATCTCCCCATTGGGCCCCTGGTCGGGATCGGTGGCCGTGACCGTCAGCAGCAGCGTCCCAGGCAGAGCATCCTCCCAAACCTCAACCACTAGTGAGCTCTCTGCAAAAACGGGGCTGTTGTCATTAGAATCAAGGACAATTACTTTGATTAAAGCAGTACCTGACCGAGGAGGCTGCCCGTGGTCGGCAGCTATCAGCACCAGGTCGAAGGAGGAGTGCAGCTCCCGGTCTACTTCTTTAATCACGACGAGCTCGGCGTGCTTCGTGCCGTCAGAGCCGGAGACAACTTCCAGTGCAAAGTGCTGGCTGGGGGACAGCGCGTAGGAGCAGCGCGCGTTAGGGCCAGTGTCGGCATCCAGCGCTCTGTCCAGCGGGATGTGCATCTGCGGCGACGCACTCTCTGATATCTCCAGCTCCAGCTCAGGTGTGGGGAAGCGGGGCGTGTGGTCATTGATGTCCAGAACTTGGACTTCCACGTGGATCAGAGCCATCTGCTCAGCTGCCAGCACGTCGAAGGACACCCAGCATGGATCGCTGTGCCGGCACAGCTGCTCCCTGTCCACGCGCCCGGCCGTGCTCAGCTCGCCATCCCCGCTCCCCACGCGTAGAGGAAACATCCCAGGGCTCTGCAGCAGACGAAAGTTTTCCCCCATTTCACCGCTTTCACCGTGCTCAAAATGCTCAGCCAACGTCCCTATCACAGTGCCCTCCGGTACCTCCTCAAACAGGCGGTACTGCACCGTGATGGTGGCCACCTCCTGTGCATCAGCGGAGAGGAAGAAGAGCCACCAGAGGGCCCGGAGCTGTAGGGCCAAGTGACCCAGCAGCAGCAGCCCGCCGAGGATGCCCATTGCCCAGCTGTGGGCTGTGGCTGTGGGCTCAGCTGCCTGCCTCTGCATCCTGCACAGACCTCAGGGTGAACACCAAAGCACCGTGTCTTCACTTGTAGCCCATTGCCACTCACCAGTTGGGAAGGAGAAGAAAGAGCGAGGGGTTCTGGAGGTTGTCCCCTGCCTTGCCATCACCCCAGGATGGGAGGCCGAGCATCCTGGGCTGGAGCATCCCAACAAGGAGCGGTGGGGTCGGCCGCCACTGCAGCCAGGAGTGGTGTCCGGCGGTGGGAGGTGGATCGGCTGAGCTTCCTATGGAAACTCCACCTACAGGAAAAGGGAGGCCCATCTCGGCACAATGCCGGCGGGGTGGGGGCTCATGGATCAGCAGGCTGTGGGGTCTATGAGGTACAGAAGTTCTCATCTCCAGCCTGCGGGGACTGTCATTGCGCTCACCTGCAAAATGCATTTGATAGAGATGGTGCTGGTCCTGGATCCAACAGCAAACCTACACACATTCTCGTCATCCCAAATTGGGATCCTGCTCTTTGCCTGTGGAGGAATACTTGGGGAAGTTCTCCGCAAAGCCCAGAGGTGACAATGGGCATCTGTTCCTGCATCACCTGAGGAGCTCCTTCCCCACACTGTTGTCTTTCTGACTTGCTCTCATTTGTTCTAATTTGTCCAAATCCAGCTGTAACCCTCACTCCTCTGCTTTTTTCTGTTGATTTTGAGGGCGATGTGTCCACATCTTTCACCACATGGCTTTTGAGTGAATCAGTGTTTGATCTTCCCCTGAGCACTCCAGGAAGACTTTTGGCAATGCATGAAACTCACTGCAGTGTACAGACTGGTGCAGTTCAGTCATGGCACCGGGACTCATGATGCTGGGCTCAACCCCGTATCCAGATGACCTTGGCAGAGTCATTTCCCTTCTTTGTGCAGTGGCTTCCTCTATGGCCAAGGGAGGCAAAGTCACAGACTGTCGGCAGAGATGCTCTCAGGATGCCCGCGGTGGGAGGAGAGGATGTTCCACAGCCCCGGGTGGCTTTGGGTGGTGGGGAGGGATAGAGCTGCTTCCTGCTGGGGTCAGCATGGCCTCAGGAGCTGCTGTGTGTTGTGGTGTGGCAAACAAAGTGACGCAAACAAGTGCAGAGAAGGTGAGTGGGTGATGAGCTGGGATGTGCCAGGAGCACCGCCAGTAATATAAGATTCAGTGTTCAAAATGAATGAGGTCCCCTCCCGCTCTTGCTTCCTGTTCACTCACAGGCAGGCTTCCAGCTTGCAGGTGCTCCAGGACCTTCGCAGCCAACTTGCAGCTCCAGACTTCCCCTGGGAGGCTGCAACTCACACCCTCCACAGACAGCTCAGGATAAGCACCTGCTCTGCTCAGCTGTTGCATTGATCTTCAGCCACCCACGATGCTCCTCATGCCTGAAGGGGATGCAGAAGGCATTCACTGGTGTGAGAGCCTGGCTGCTTGAAGCTCCACCACAGAGACACCCCACCAGCCCAGAGCTGCACATCACCAGGCAGACCCAGCCTGGACACACTGGATCAATCTCTGCCGAGGCTTCCCAATTTCATGTGTTATTTGGGGCTGAAATCTCCCAGCAGCTCTACAGAGAGCTCAAAAGATGGATTTTCCCCAGGACTGAGCTGTAGGCGGCTTTGGTCGGGTTTAGATACAGGCTGCAGGAGGGTACTCACTGCTCCGGTGCAGTGGAAGGGGAATGTGTCACACCAGAGAGCATTGCTCTCGTAATTACCATAAGGAGGAAAATGTGAAAGGAAAAGTCTAGTTTCAAGTCTATGAAAATTAGCATCAGAAGTGAAGAGTTCAAAAGTAACATCAGTGAGAGGAGTAGAGAACGGACATGCATGAAGAGGTCCCCAGATCTGTCCTCACTGAGATGATCAAAGCCTCATCCCACATCCGTGAGGGAATGCAGGAGCTGTTTGTTCCCCTCCCTGCTCCACAGAGGGATGCAGTGCCAGAGGCCCAGAGGGATGAGCCTTAGGAGGGGTTGCAGGCATTCAGTCCCATGCTGGGTGCTGCCCAGGCGGGCGACTGTGGGTGGAGATGGGGTGAGCAGAAGGGTGGCTGCTCCCCACCAGCCAGCTCCATCACACCACCAATCATGATTTGGGGCTTCACTGTCCCTGTTTCCATCCCTTTGGAAGGGATGCCTGTAGCTGAATGCCTCAAGCTGGAAGGGACTCACAAGGATCAGAGTCCAACCCCTGGCTTCACACACCAGCACCCAACCCAAACCCTACAGCTGAGAGCGCTGTGCCAGCCCCAGATGAGTTCCCCCACCCCGGGAGCAGGGGCCACCCCCCCTCCCCATAACCTCCTTTCAGGCTGCTGGGCTGGTCGGGGACCTGAGCACAGAGCAAACAGAGGAGAGTGAGCACCACGAAGCCGGTTTTGTTGGCTTGATTTGGACAGCTTGACACACCTGAGCAATGGCAATGAGTTTGGAAGAGGTGGGGTTTTCCAGCTCCTCCCGCACAAGTGATAGATGTGGGCCAAAGCACAAAGCCCTGAGTGGCTGCAGATTGATGAGCGTAGTAATAATTGCCCGTTTTATCTTTCTCCTTAATATGCACGTGGTTTTTAATCTCATCTTTGCAAACACGGCATCTCGGTGCCGAAGTTGTCCTTTAGGGGGAGCTGCGACCAAAGCTCCCGTTGTTCTCCGTTAAAGCATCTGTCAAAACCAACCCCAGCTTCGAGCCCACAGAGCCAGGACATCGCGATGGCCCTGCGTGGGTGATCCCACGCCACACGTGGCATAAACCAGAAAGGTTTTACAAAGCTCATCTGCTGGCTGCTCACCTGTGCTGCAGATGACCACTGCGACCACCTCAACCTACAGGCATCACATAAAGAGCTGCCATTGGAAGGCTGCGAGCTCTTCAGGGCTTGTTAATTTCAGATGTGTTGAGTTACAAACAACTCTGTGCTGCCATTCTTTGGATTTGTGCTTGGACTGAACGATTCTTTACAACACTAATGATTCTGTGATTCTGGAGAAGGGACTCTCAGAGGGTTCCAGCCCAAACAGCACACCTTATCTGCATAGGGGAGCTGGAAACACTGTCACCCATGGGAAACAATCAGAAGAAAATCGGAAGAGAAAACAAACAACAAAAATATAAATTACATTTATTATGAACACCAGCATTTTCCAACAAGTCCAACCACTACTTCGCTTTAAAGTAAAACAAGCCGGAATCGTGTGAGCTGAAGGGAGCCAGAGCATCAGCAGGGTCAGAAACATCCGGCACCTGGAGGAATGGGAAGAAGCCCCAGTTTGTTGTCCCATCCCCATCACTGCACACATTGCACTGCAGGCAGCTGGCGGGGCAGCTGGGACCGCACCGGGGCCAGCCAGCAGGAGGATGGCAATCAGCTCTGCAGCAGGGGGAAGCGGGCCGTGGCACGGAGCAAAAATGGGACAGGTGGCTTTTCTGTGCCATGCAAACAAAATAACGAGGACACTGTATGTGAAAACATCCCTAATCCATAAAGCAATTCCAAATGATGCAACTTCCAGCTTGTGCCAAGGGGCCGAGCGTTCACTCAACACTCCCCAGATGGAGAGAAGACTGAGGCAGCTCTCCTGGGTGCTCCCAGGCAGCGTGGGTGAAAGCAGGGCAAGAAAAACCAGAAGGGATGCTGATGCCGTCCCACGCAGGCTGACCCACTCCCAGCTCTGGCTCAGGGCAATCAGACACCAATGTCATTGCCTGGCCGGCACCACGCACTGCCTGGTGATAGCGGCCTGGATGTCAGGGCTGACGATGGGTCACTGCAGCGACACAGCTTCCTAGTGAGGCCATCTGGAGCCAGATACAGCCCCAGTGTGCAGGAACCAGCTAGTCTTGGGCTGAGCCAACAGCACAGTCACTGTTTTTCCCTTGGGTCCTGCCCAAACCTTGTTACAGATACGTGACCTCGATGACGTTGGGTTCGATGCTCCCACAGGGCAGGTGGTGCTTGCAGGAGCACTGGCAGCTCAGGTTGCCACCCGGCTCCCACTGCCCAGGCTGAGTGGGCTTCTTCTGGGAGCCCAGCTTCCTCCAGTCCATGAGGTGCACCCCGTCGTCCAGGTCCTGCGGCATGGGCTCATGGTAAAGGGTGATCTGGATGGTGCGGAGCTGCGGGCCGTAGTGCACCATGACAATGATGAAGATGGCCAGGAGGACAAAGATGACAACGATGGCTGAGATGACGGGCAGGGCATCAGACTTCTTTGTCATGCTCCTGACCACGGAGATGGGAGTGAAGGCAGCTGCATCCTGGGGCTCGGGGTGCCTCAGTGGGCTGCCGGGTGCTGAGGCGTTCATGGCTGAGCAAGGTGACCTGGGACAGAGGGTGGAAAGGTGTTATTGTCAGACAGGGGCTGTCTGATGTCCTCATCTCCTGCCCTCGGCTCCGTAGCTCCTGCCTGTAGCTTCACATGCAGCTCCCCAGGCATGGAATCTTGGAAGAAGGCACTGGATGCCTTTTGCTTCAGAGCGCAGGGAAAAGATTCAACCTGAGATAAGGACTCTGGGTATCGAGCAAGCCCCATGGAGCAACATGCAACTCCAGACTGGATATGGTCAGGATAAGTGCTCATCCCAACCACGTGTCCTGCAGAAAGGCAGCAGCCTGTCACACAGCCCTGCACAGTGAGCAGTGGCATCCAGGAGCTTTAACCAGACCAAACATGAGCAAAACATTCACTTGGCTGCCCAGTGTGACCAGGCGAGTGCTTTTTGCTGGCAGAAACCTGGCCCCAGTGGAACAGGGCTGTCCCTGGGTGTTCCCCCCCCCCAGGCTCACAGGACAGAGTAAATTTTGGTGCTGACATCTGTGTTGTAGGGGCGGTGACCATTCGGCCAGGTGGTCAGCAGAGAACAGTGGGAAGACACCGCCCTGCATCTCCTTATCCCAGGCACCTTCAGTGGGGGTCTCCTCTCCCCACTGCCTCCGTTGATGGAGCCTCCTAGAGGGGGAGACTCCACCGCTCCCTCTTCCCCCATCCCCAGAGCCAACACCAGACCAAACCCCGTGGGAGGCCCAACCCCACCAAAGTATTTGCGGGTCAGGCAGGGCAGAAAGCTGGGAGCGGGGAGCAGCGGGAGGGAAAGGGGAAAGCGAGGAGAGAAAGCCCGCCCCAGGGTACCTGGGCGTCCTGCTCCGGGGGAAGCATCACCTCCAGCGGGACAGGGCAGCAGAGCAGCTGCAGGAAGGTGCTGCGGGGCGGCCGGGCTCACCTCAAGCTGCCACGTCACGCCCGGGGCTCCCCGCGCAGGAGGAAGCGCCTGCTCATCCCACAGCGAGAGGTGCTGCCCTACCTAAGGCAGTGCCACATCAGCACGCCCGGCTGCCATGTGCGGGGACACCGCAGCACCCTCCGCCGGCCCCGCCGCGCTGCCGCCTGTCAGACAAGCGGCTTTTGTTCGGGGACAGAGCACCTCCCGGCCCTCGGTGCGCATAGCCCCGGCTCTGCAACCGCAGGAAGCCCCCCTCCTTTCCCTGACTTGGATTGAAACGTTGTTGCGTTTAGAAATTAGCGTAAAAACCGAGCGAGCTCTTTGCTCAATTCGGCAAAAGGTGTCTCCGCTACTCCCCGAGCTGCGAGGATCCTCGCCTTCAGATCAGGCAGCCCCGAGGCTGAGCGCCCCTGCAGCAGGAGCGATGCGGCGAGCAGAGCGCCGTGCGCCGCGGATGGATGGAGCGCACACGGCCAGCTTCCCGTTCGCCTTAGGGCAGCCGAGGAGCCCTCGCTGCTGCGCACAAAAAGCTGCTGCTCGGCCACGAGCACTTCACAGCACAGCTGCTGCTAGCTGTAAACAGGGCTTGCAGAGATCTTAAGGTCCAGCACCTCAGAAATACCACACACTGTCTGTAAGCACTCCTGGGATGCAGGGTCACAAACAGCTCTGCAGACCCAGGGCTGCTCAGGGCAATGCAGGGCCAAGGCAGTGCCTGCATGTCCCTCCTTTGCACCGTGGCCGCAGGCACTGCCCAGCACCAATCACCTCCGTGCAGGTGGGTGCTGTTTCCGGGGTGGTCAGATCTCACACCAGCAGTGACCTCAGCACATCACCATGCAGAAAAGATGGATCTTACAGAGCTTTAGCACTCAGGGTCATGGTTTAGTGGGCATGGTGGAGGTGGGCTACCAATTGGATTTGGCATCCTGGAGGTCTTTTCCAGCTGTAATGAGTCTACGATTTGTTTTTGCAAAGCCCTTATGAAACACCTCCCAACGCTCCCGTCCCAGAACAGAACTGTCCTACCTGCTCCTGCCTCTTAGCACACCGTCCTGGAATATTTGTGCTCCATCCCTCCTGTGCACTGCAGGGTGGGTGATGCCCCGTCCCCCACACAGCCCAGCAAGCTCCCAGTAGTGATCTGGCTGCACATCAGAGCTGCTGCTTCTGGGAATTTGCACTCATCTCAGGATTCAGTAAAACCTTAATCTACAGCGTAATCTCTGAGCATCACATCTGTGCAAGAGGAAAAAAAAAAAATAAGGGTTGTGGGGGGAGGCTGCTCACAGAGGTTTTGTAAAAGCAAAGCTTTGGGCCTGATGGCTTACTGGTGTGCATTGAGCCCCATGTGGTTTGTGGGGTACCTGCACCCACCTCATGGCTGCAGAAAGCAGGGCCCTGTGAGCAGCACCAGGACCTCCCAGTGCCTTCTGTGCAGTGACACACAGTGAAGGAGCAGCCCTGACACCCACAGCTGGGGCTCTGGAGCATTCCAGGGCTGCAGGAGGGGCTGGATGTGGCCCCTGGAGACAGGGAAGGGCTGTGACAAATGGCCCAGGGCAGGAGGTGCAAAGTTTCCACTCCCCCAAACGCCTGTCCCCAGCGTCCAGCCTCTCCTGGGCTGCCAAAGGGACAGCCCCATTTTTCCTAAGTAGGGCACTTTGTAAGGCAGCAAAATGCTTTTCACCTTGCCGGAGCATGGCCTTGCAAGGGTCCTAGGCTGGGAGCAGCAGCCCCTGCCAGCAGCCATCTGGGAATGGGATGGATTGCTGCCAGCCTGACCCATCAGCCCAGCTGGGACCCTCCTCCCATTAAGGAACCAGGTTAGGGGAGGCTGAAGCCTGCTTTGTGCTGTCCATGCTGCTGCTGCCCAAGCAACCGCATCCCACAGCCAGCACGTCCCAGTGCCCAGCCCTGCTGGAGCTGCACAGGGAGGAACAGGACATGGGCACAGCACAAGGCAGCTCCAGCTGTGAGATTCTCTGCCCCACTCCAAATCTCTCTCAGGGATTCTAAGAAGTCCCCTCTCAGGTGGAGGGCAGGAGCAGCTCCCATGGCCCAGCACAACTCTAATGACTGATGAGGAGCAGAACCAGACCTGCGGCACCTGCGGTATGCCAAACACATCTCCAAAAAGCAGTACCATACAGAAGTTACCAAGGCCCAAATCCAGGCAGGGCCATTATGCCTCTGTTCTCCCCCTCTATGAGAAGCAAATTCCCCAACAAATCAATGGCGAGGTTTCCTTTGCCGTCGGTAAGCGATGTCTCATATCCTCTTTGACCATAATGGACTAAAAAACACAGTTCCCCTGTGGATTCAGCTCGTTTCCTTCTATTCTTTAACAGGAAGCTCTGCAAGAATCAGCCCAGGCAGGCAGACCTCTCCTCACCCTCTCACACTCGGGATGGACAGAACCTCCGCAGGGCTGCTCAGCTCCACGCCGCGATGCTGGCTCCAGCCCTCCATCCGCTCCTGTGGCTGTTTGGCTGCGTGCTGCTCAGAGGTAAGGAGCAATGGGGCAAGGGCAGGGGGCAGCTGTGGGGAGCCCAGCTGTGGGCACTGAGGGGAAGCAGCCAGAGGAGGAGCGGCTGCCAGCAGGGAGCTCAGACTTTACGTTCAGGGTGCTGGGATCAACCCGGCCCCAGCAGGTTTTGCAGGCTTTATTTGACCGTGCTGAAATCACAGAACCTGTTTCCTGGTTAGGGAAAGGATTTTTTCTGTTAGTGATACAGAGGTGTTTCATAGCAAGTGACTGTTGTCAATTGAGGATGAAGGTGGAATTTTAAACATATGGGACATTTTCCTCACCTTTATTTTCTCCTCTTGCTGATGTAAACACAAAGAGCACGTGGCACTAAGACTCCTGCAGTACATTATTGCCATAACTCTGCTTCTGACTTCCCTGTCGCCCTCTGCTCATGGTATGGGATGCAGTGAGGATACCCAAGGATCCAGGCTCCTGCTGAATTGTGACAGGTCGCTGTCCTGCAGTCAGTGACAGCTGTAGCAGCTTTCAGCTTAAAGGCTGTCAGAGGAACGGATGCTGCAGTATCACTGCTGCTTCCACTAGTCAGCCACCTGAACTAGTATCATGTGTCTTGGATCCAAAGCTTTTATCAGTAAGCCATGGAAGATGTCCATGGGTTGCAGCCCCTGCATTGGTAGAAACAGGATTTTTAAAGGACAGGGACTATAAAGACAATTCAGCTGCTTGCTGTGCAATTCTCAGAAAGAAGAGCACATTGATTAGAAAATGTTTCTCTTAATTAGAGGGCAACACAGCTGGTTTCAGCAGAGGGGTGAAGTGTGCCGGACAAGGAACTCTGAGGCCCTTTGGCTCTGCTGCTACATTTCTTAATACCTGGCCAGAATGCTTTTTTTCTCCTTGAAAATATTAGTTATGGCATGCACAGGACAGAAATGTCCTGCAGGTTGCCAGCACTCGCTCTGACCAGCTGCGTTACCCCAGGACCCAAACCCTGCAGTGCACCAAACCTTCAGCTGACGGCACCACCCAAAGGATTCACTTCTCAGGTTGATCCCAGCACTGTAGGATTGGGTAGAATGGTCACCTCTGTCCCCTGGTCCCAAGCACATCACTTGGGAACTCTGTTCTCTGCATTCTGCTTCAAACGATGGGGGCAGGGGCTGCTCTCACTGCCAGCACCTGCAAACCATGACAGCACTGCTGTGCTGAACTTGCACCTCTCTGGCTTCAGGTAGAACCAGCTTTCAACATCATCTTGTGCTTTGCCTCTGATCTTTGCATGGCCACTGATACAGCAGCTCAGAACTGTCATAATTTTCACTTCACCTTTGGTGCTATGGCAAAGTCATGAACACAGCCTGGTACTTGAGGGGCAGCTGCTGCAAAAGGTGAAGCAGCAGGCTCAGAGCAAGGGGCACAGGTTGGTCAGCAATGCTGCTCCCAGAACAAGGGCTGCTGAAGGGAATGAAGGGCTCTTAAATGAGACAAGGCTGCTCGGAGGTCTCCATGCACCTGAGGAGGTGGAAATTACATTTTGGAGGTCCAAAGTTGGTCAGAATAGCCGTAAACTTGTAACTGCCAGATCTTTCATTCGTTAAAGCTTGGTTACGGTTATTTCTAAAAGAAGGTTCAACTTCTGTTACTGTGGAATTTCTCAAGTGGGAAGTTCTGGAACTCTTCCAACCTATTTTTCATCCCCAAGAAATGCTTAATGAAAACGTATCCAAACACACCTCTTCCTATGAGCAGTTTCCATTACGACCAGCAGGCACTTCCCAGACAAAAGCTTTCCACTGGAAAACTCCTTCTGCAAGCTGAGGAGAACCCAGCAGCATTTCCCCACTGACTGCTGCTCCCCTTACCTGCACTGCAGCCAGTGAGTGAATGGATAATGCCACAGTGAAGGTGCCACAGATATGATCCCAACCACGGGATGCAGCTAAAGGGCAGACATCCAGCTAGCAGGAGATCTCCCAGACAGGACTTCCATCCTAACAAGTATCGAGGGCACTCTACAATTGAGTCTTACTGCTTGTGCGGTCTTGTTCCTCAGGCAACGAGAACAGAACTCGAGTTTTATGTTCTCCAATGGTCGTGAGATCACATAACAGAAGAGACTTGTGCAGCCCCACTCGCACCAAATTATGATGTTCTTAAAATGCATTTGCCAAGATATCTTTTATGCTTGCTGCCACGCTAGGGAATGCATCTTGTTCAGATCCTGCTTCTTTCAGCAGTGGCAGAACGCCCCTGTGTCTTTGCAGAGGGATATTTTCACTGCTGATCTCTGCCCACAGCAGGTGACACCCAGTGTTATCCCCAAGATCCCTTCCTGACTCTTCTTGGCCAAAAAAGGCAGGTCAGCACAGCCCTGTCTGGTGTACCAGGAAGAGAAACCAGGAGTGGTTTGAAGTGTTTGTTCAGAAAACAAACTGCTCCCCTCCAGTAAGGTGAAACTCAGCCGATGACACTGCAAAAATGATAGAAGTGCCTGGGGATCGTTTCCAGCAATTATGTTTCCTTACAATAGGTGAGTCAGCAACAGGTGTCCTTGCAGGAGACACTGCTGGTAACCCAAAGGCAAGAATGCTCCTGCTGGGAAAACACACACATGGGCTTGAGCCCAGGCTGGAGAAGGGAGATCAGTGCCTCACGCAGCACAAGTACTGCCAAGCCCTGGCTAGAAGGTCTCCTTATTCCACATCCCAGATGGCCCCACTCAGCGTGATCCAACCACAACGAGAAGCAGTTTCCCATCAGTCTTTTTTATAGACTTATGGGCTGGGGGCTGTTTTACATCTCAGCTGAACTGTTTCAGGAAGAGGGAGGAGCAAAGCCCCCTCTACCATCTGAGACTGCAGTGCTCTTTGCGGGGCAAAGCACTGGAACAGGCCGCCCAGAGAGCTGGTGGGGTCCCCTTTCCTGGAGATATTCAAGACCCATCTGGACACCTTCCTGTGCAAGCAGCTGTAAGGAACCTGCTTTAGTAAGGGGTTGGACTCAGTGATGTCCAGAGGTCCCTTCCGACCCCTGTGATCCTGTAATTCTGTGACATAGAAATGTGGAGTGCGTCCACCTGCTCTCCAGGAGAAGCCCTCCACTGCTGGGACAGCAACCAGCAGTTCTCAGTGGGGGAGGAGATGCTTTCCCACCATCAGGCATCGCTGCAAATCACACACCTATCTACGAGCAGCACAGCTCTGGGCAAGCAGCTCCAGGCAAACAGATCCATACACTCACATGGCCCAGATGCGACTCTGGAGTTGCAAAAAAGCTTTGGAGTCAGAGCAATCAGAAGTCAGGGAGCAGCATGGCATAGTGACAATGCAGTGGATGGGGACCAAGGACCACTGTGTGTTGTGCCTGCCACTTAACAAGTGGTATAACACTTCTGTGCCTTGTTTTCCCCAGATATGAGATAAGGATAATAAAAAGACTTCCTCCAAGGAGTGCTTTGGAATCTAGGAATAAAACATAGGTGACATGAGAGTCACTCACCTAAAATTTGAAGCCAGATGAAGTTTGTCAGGTCAAGAAGCTTTGCTTGCCTCTTCTACAAGACATGGTGTCTCAGGGAGCAGCAGGGAGGTACCTCCTCAGCACTGATACAGAGAAAATGAATGCATCTGAGCAGGGCAGGCTTCACCTGTCCTTCAGCCACTCCCCTGAGGTTGAAAGCAGGTGATCTGAGAAGAGAAAGCAAAAAGAATGAGGATTAGGAAAGCTCCCCAGGGCTCCAGCCCCTGACACACCTCACCTCCTAGCTCACCAGATGGGAACTGAACCCATCCAGCAGGTCCTATTCCTGCGTGGTGCTCCATGAACACAGCTGTTAGCAGCAGCACCCCGCTCTGCCAGTGTGAACGTGGGGGAAATCTTGGAAAGAGAAAACTGGGGAATAAACTGTGGCATAGAGCCTCCATGGATGGAGGGTAGTGAGATATGCCTGATAGGTACCAGCCCTGATCCATCACGTTGGCTGTGCTGCTGCAGGGGGTGGTGATTTGTGTGCTCTGCTGATAGCTGCCCAGAGGTACAGCACAGGAGCAAATTCAGCAGCTGATCTCCTGCACCAGCTGGAACACACGACATTTGGTTAGGAACTAAATCCTACAAAATAATGAGGACCACCTGCAAGGCGACCTGTACATCAGCAGGGCCTTGGCTGAGAGCCTAATTAAGGTGTGAAAGCAGCAGTGCTAAACCAGCCTGCAACTCGCAGTGCTTTTCTGCACCCTGCTTTCCCCATCTATACAAATGCAGCATTCTGAAACAAAGAGGTTGTAGAGAAAGCAGCTGGGAGGGCTGCAGCACAGTGTCCTGTTGGGAGCAGCTTTACTTCCCAGTCCCTGCAGAGAAGTGCCCAGAGGGGTGCAGAGGGCACAGGCCAGGAAAAAAAAGCATGCTGACACACACAGTGATGTTACAGGGCCCATTCTGTGCCCCGTGGTTTCCCCACGTTGTTTCTCTTCTGGCTTGTTTTCTAAATTCAAGTGGTTTTAATTGCCTACTGCAAGAAGCCTGACCTGCTCACAGCAGCTCACTGGAGAGGATCACAGAGGAGGATGCTTGCAGAGGATGCTCATCACAGGGTGCAGACCTGGGGGAGGGGGCAGAGGAAGGCTGGGATGGTTCTGAATCCCTAACGAGATCCAGATTTAATTCCTGCCTCTCTAAACTTTCCGTAACACTTTGACCAAGTCATTACCATTCAGAACCACGTAGCAGTGAATTGCCAAACCCCTCGAATGTCAGCTGAGAATTAGGTGTTTTAATACCTCTGTGGGTCTGGGACCTAATTTAGACTGTCAGTTATCAAGTCTGCATAATGACACTTTTCCTCTCTTCCCCACCTTTTCTGCCTCAACCTGTGAGACCTGCCAGGCAGAGGCACCTTTTCTTATTTGTTCCCATTTCTATTAAAATGGGACTGAGACTTCTGCAGAGCTCTTCATTTTCCAGGTTTCCTAATGCAGCATTTTCTTTCACGTAGAAATGATGACAGTTTGGTGTTGTTGCTCTCTGCTGCTTGAACAGCTGCTGTGTTTCACCCAGGAAACAGCTGCACTTGCATTGTGGGTCAGCATATTTTTGTCTTGTTGTCTAATTTTAGGTGGTTGGGTCTCTTTCCTGAAAGCCTTTGTTTATGTAAGCTGCAAGCAGAGGTGCAGCAAGACTGTAGGCTTCAGGGCAAACTGACACGCAGTGAGCACAGGCAGGGCACTATCAGATCTCCCCCCAGTTGCAATGGAAAAGAGTGCCATGAGCCCAGCACTACCCACCAGGGCCAGAGGGTCCCTCCCCCCATCAGTTCTGAGTGGATGGGACCAATGCCTTTGTACTGATGCCAGAGATCTTCCTGTGTGAATCCATATGGCTCTGGGAACTCAGCTGCCATGGAAAGGCCCCTCTGCTCGCAGCCTAACTCTCACTTCCACCATTTCGGAAGGACTACAGCAAATAAAAGAAATCCAAATTTCCCTTCTTATATTCTGGAAAAAAAAATTAACTAAGAAAAAACAGCTCTTAGTCAGAGAGACAAAATGCATCTGCAGTCTCAACACGCTTCCCCAGAGCCCCATTGATCTGGTCACTAATCAGGAGTTTCCCTTTCCAGCAAGAGCAGAAAGCATGATTTCCCATTGTAAATCCCTCAGCAAGCTCGCCGTCCCCACCTAGAAACACACAATCCCTCTGTAAATCACTGGCACCCAAACACTCAACAAACAGCTCTGCTCAGCAGCAAGAAGTCGCCTGAATGGCTTTGATGTTGATTGCAATTACAGCTGTGCTGGCTGCGTGCTGCATTCACTGTTTATATAGCCACTGTGCCACAGGGGGAGTGGGGATGTGCTGGGACAGGCTGCTGTCACTCTGTGGTGTGATTGGCAGTGAGGTCCCCAGGGAGCTGTGGCACCGTGCTGTGCCCACATCCTGCTGCCCAGCCCCACAGCACAGCTTGCATTGCTCCCTGCTGTGCACACGGCTGTCTGCAGTCATTCAGTGGGATGCTGAGCACCTTTGCTGGAAGAAAACACCTAACAAAGTGGGGCTGTTGATTATTTAAGTTGGCAGAGAAGCTGTAACAAAAAAGCAGGGGCCAGAAGTCGGAGCCAGGCGTGCTTTGCTTTGAAACAACGTGCTGCTGTGTTTATAGAAGGGCCATTTATTACAGAGCCAAGTGCCAAAAACAGATCTGCGTCCCTTGGCCTCTTTGCAGCAAGATGGTCACTTCTGTGCAGCAAAGCTCCAATGCAGCAAACCTGGGTGAGCAGTTCCCTGCATGGGGGAACTGCAGTGACTCCAGGGTTTATTTTGGCACAGTGATCTTTGAGGACATTTTATGAGGCAGTGCTCAGGGGTGAGCTGGTTAGCAAAGAGCTGAGCTGCTGTGGAAGAGTACTAAGAACATCTGCCTCTCATCTCAGCACTGGGAGATCCTGAGCTTCATAGTGCAGGGCATCACAGCACAGGGCAGTAAAGCCATCTCCTTTGTCCCACCCCTAGAGGCCCAGCTCAAGCTCTTGAATTTCTTCTCAGTTACGCCAAAAATAAACTGCCAGCTCAGAAGCCTTTGTCCCACCTTTTCCTCAACAAAGAGGATGCTTTCATGTTATGTGTACATTAAAAAGCACCTGTGACAGCTTCAAGAAGCAAATGTGTCACAAGCAATTACTCTTCTCATGAAGGAACAAGATGGTCTCTATAAGGAAGTCTGAAAAAGACAAGCTGTTTGAGTTTGGCAGGTACCAGAGGTCCCATGATTATCTCTGCTGTTTGCAGAGTGCTTTAAGGCATGTGCAAACCAGCACCCAGAAATTGTATTGCAAAGCTGCTTTAGAAGAAGCCAGTGCCAAAGAGAAAGCCTGGCAAACCATTTGGATCAATGGGCAGCATCTCACATTGCAATTGTGTGCACTCCTCTTTCCCTAAAGAAGCATCTCTACTTCTTTAAGGAGAACCGTGTGCCCAAAAGATCTCATCCTCCCCTGGGGTGCTGTCAATTCAAAAAATGGTGTTGCATCTGCCTGTAATTCCCATTCACACTACCAGACCGACATTCATTTAGCCTGCTCTTCAAAAGCTCCAAAGGCTGTCCCATAATTCTCACACACAGTCACTCTCAGCGACTCACTACCCTTGTGTCAAGACAGTTTCCTATTGCCCCCCTTTTTATGGCTGCAGTGTAAGTCCTTGTTTTCTGATCCTGTTCCCAATGGATGCAGAAATCAGATTAGTCTCTTCCTGTCTGTGTAATTAAAGATCTAATCACATCTCCTCTCCCCCTTCCCTTGTAAGGACCAGACAAGACATGTTTCACCAACCTGATGTCCAGTAAACCAAAACATCAAAGCATGGAAGAGATCCGAAAAGCCAAGCTCATAGCCAAACCCCAAACTGAAAGAGGCTGTTTTATTATGTACTCAGTGATTTACACTCTGTTTTGGTTCCTGTTTGGCTGGGATCATTGTCATAAAGCCTCGGAGGAAAAAACAATTATGGCCCCAAGACAGTTGCATGAGAAAAATGACATCAGTCAGGAGCACGCCAGAGCCAGGCAGTCCCTGTGGGGTGAGCTCTGAGCCCAGGAGTGATGACCCCCACACGCTGCAGATCCCATTCCAACATCAGGGCATTCACCTGAGCTGTCCCAGAATCTCTACAGCACAGGTACCTACCGTGATGTGCATCACCACCTCCACGGCTCCCAGCAAGAGACGGGACATCGCAGGCTGCGTCTCCTCTCCCTGTACAGCAGCAATCTAAAATAGATCAGATCAGTGGGGATTTAGAAGTGCCTGATCCTCTCTTTGATGAGAAAGGGAGCCTGGAGATTAGCTCTCTTGCAGGCGGGCTCACAGAAGAGGTACGAGAACAGGTGAGATGGACTGTGCGTGTTGGGAGGACAGAATCTGGCTGCAAGCAGGCACACAAACACTGTGCTGTTTGCTGGATCTCCCCATGGGTCGTCAGCTCTTGCAAAGAGGACTCAGCCCTTACTGCTGTCCCTTTTTGTCCAAAACTTGGAGGAACTATCCGCTGTTGTGGGATGGATCACCAGCAGGACTGCATTCTTTTGGGTTTCGTGGCTGTAATGTAGTTTCTTTCATGCCTCTTAACTAAGGGCAGCATTGCTATCACCAGCAATAATCATATTAAAATGTTACACAATTAGGAGGTGTGTTTCAGTAACGGCAGAAAGGTCACTTCTTCAAAGTTAAGCCAGTTGGTTTTGATTCAAGCATTGTGTGTATTTACATCCTGCAGTCTTCATTCCCTGTTATGGAACTGGGTAGTTCTTTCCCTTTTTATATGGCAACGTTTTTAATTGGCACCTGTCTAATCATAGGATTCCAGGAGCTGAAGCTTAAAGAAAACTTCAGAGAGTAGACAATGTGGAAGATGGTGAAGGAATGTCTTGCTGTAAACCCAAAAACATTCAGTTGAGAAAACAGTCCCATTAGCTCCTGGCAACCTTCACAAACCTCATCTATCCACTCATTAAGGTCTCAAGGGTCTCAAAGCATTCCAAAACAACTCTTCTAAACAACTCTAGAAAAAAACAGGTCAAATGGCCTTTCTGTGCCAAGGCTGAGCAGGAGGCAAGAAGCTCACAAGGAGAGAGCAGTGCTACTGATT